AAAAAAAAAAGAAGTATAGTTAGTACGAAAGCATAATAATCATGCATAGATTTCTATCAAAACATACTATTTTCTACTAAATCTGCATGTTAGATTTTTGAGCCGATTCCAGAACGTGTATAGTCAACACATGCAATAAAATTAGCACTTCCTTGTTGCTGTTTGATGGATCGGATTAATATGGGTATCACTGGACTTTATCTTTTAACCTGCATTCAGTTTTCCATTAGCAATGTTATTTATTTTGGAATCCAGTTTCAATTTTGTGTGTATGGATACATAGACACCTTACTCACTCGAATATAATGAATGTTTTTCAGTAGAAAAAATCTAGCCAATAATCTTTTTCTGGTAGTGTAGTAAAAAATCCTAGAGTATATTTGCTAACTTAGTTTGTGTGCGATCAGGCCGTTCGAAATGAGAACGATTTGAACAGCCTAAATGTGCCGTCCAAGTATCGGACTATGAATTCCTTTTGGAAGTATTACTCTGGGGAGAAATCTGCACCATTTCCAACGATATTCATTGGTGGGAATCACGAAGCATCCAACTATCTTTGGGAGTTGTGAGTCTGCTATTTCAATAGTAATAAAGATTTTGATAGTTTGGAATCTTTTCCCATTGAATAGTGATCTTATGTTTTGAACTCATCACTTTCTTTTTCATGTATTTTTCTTCAACAAAAAATAATGAATTGAAAAACTTATATTCCCCTTCCAATAAAGGATAGTGTGTATGTATGTCTCTATATAGAATAAAAGGAAAGTTACAAGTTGCGCCGTTATTCCAAAAGCATGTTATTTGAAATGTGAAAGCCATGCCAATACATATGCGCATACACACACACTTACATATATTCATTTTTTTTTTTTTGAAGAATCACCCCGGAAGGGTAGGGGATTAAGGTCGGACCCCCAACCTGTATAGAGTCATGACCCTAATTGGGCAACATACATGTGTTTTTTGCATTTGTTGTGATTGAAATGGCAAAAGCGGATAGATTTATTATCTCATTAATTTCAAAAAGAGGGTGTAGAAGACGTCTAAATTAATAAATTTACTAATTACATTTAGGGGACACATACTTTCCTGCTATTTATAAGAGAATGAAAACATTAGGATTGCTTCTTGATGTTATATTGTCTGTTGTGGCAGATACTATGGTGGGTGGGTTGCGCCACAAATTTTCTTTCTCGGATTTGCAGGAGTTGTTAAGTTTGGAAATGTTCGTATTGGTGGGCTGTCTGGGATTTATAAAGCCAATCACTATCATTCTGGTAATGTTTGTTCTGATTCCTTAGTTGGTGGTCACCTTCAGTGCTGCATAAAGAGTACTAACATTCCAGCTTTGAGCTTTCTTTCGTTATCCCTTTCTTTGTTTCTGTTCAATCTTTCTAATTAAAATATTCATAAATTGCAAAAAATTGCAATACTAATTTTTATTGTAAAAATTATTGGAGTTTAGGTAATATCTGAAAAATGATCTGATTATGGAATTTGCTTCCAGTAACAATTTTGTGTGGTTTTCTTCTAGAACGCTTGTGCACACTATTGTACACAAGAAGAGTAGAAGTGATCAGGAGAATTTAATTCTCACGAGAGTTGATTGCTATTGGTTGCCAATGTGTATTAATCCCTAATTTTAGTCTGAGAAGAAGGTGGCCTTCAGAAGCATGTAATAGCTAGTTGAATGACTGCATAATGAGTATAACCTTAAAAATAAAATATTTTTGTTTTGACAGGTAAAATCCTCAACATGAAATTGATTTCGCGAATTTAATTGAACAGCAAAATCCATTCATAAATTAATCAATATTCTTCTCAAAACAGTTTTTCTCTCCTTCTCTTGCTATTTTTGTTTAATTATTATTTCTTTATGCCTCATCATGACATGTTGAGTAACCTGTATTGTGAATAGGACATCATGAGCAGCTACCTTACAATGACCAACACATCAGGTCCATATATCATGTTCGCGAGTATGATGTGCAAAAGCTTATGCAAGTTCAGCAACCAATAGATATTTTTCTTTCTCATGATTGGCCTCTTGGTATTACTGATTATGGGAATTCACAAGATCTTGTACGCCGAAAACCTTTTTTTAAACAAGAGGTACCATTTAGTAATTTATGCATGCATTGATTACTGCTCAAGGTGCAGTAATCAAGCATTGGAAGTTCTTTCACATTCTTTTGGTCATTTTGCACTCTCAAGCATGTATTTTCCCCTTTTCCTGTTCCATAAGCGTTTTCTCTATGCTGAAACACTATGGCGGTCCAGACATTCTATAAATATACTGGAATATAAAATATTAGTGATGCCATGTGCCTTTGAGGTGGTTACTGCTCCTTTTTTTTGTNGGGGGGGGGGGGGGTTTCCTCAGTGTTATGATATGTGAAACTTGCCATCCAGATTGAAGAAAGAACATTGGGAAGTCCTGCTGCAAGAGATCTTATGGCAAACTTGAGGCCTTCATATTGGTTTTCTGCACATTTACATTGCAAATTTTCTGCTCTTGTCCAACATGGAGAAAACGGCCCGGTTACGAAATTTCTTGCCCTTGATAAGTGCCTCCCTGGACGTAAATTTTTGCAGGTAGTTACTCATTCTAAATACCTAATGCATGCTCTACTTTCATGGTTACTGCTTGAACCAATTATTTGCTAAGTAAACTCTTGAACATTGTAGGTTATCGAAATTGAATCAGAAACAGGGCCTCACAGTCTCCAGTATGATGAAGAATGGCTTGCAATCACTAAGAAATTTAATCCAATCTTCCCTCGGACTACAGCGCGGCCAAATTTTAGGTATCTGCACCAATTTCCTTTTAAATTTTAATTATATATGTTACTGTATGCCTTTGCCATGATTTCATACGTATCTGGTTATTCCATTTGTTCTCTAGTGATGCTAACCTCAATATGGAAGAGTGCCTCCAGTTTGTGAAGAATAAGCTGCAAGCACGAGGCAGCGAACCTTTTGAATTTGTTAGAACTGCTCCCTGCCACAGATCTTCTCAACCTGTGGCCAACAATTTTCCTCCCGGTGAGTATTGACAAGCTTGACGGGGCTAGCTTTATTTTCTTGTTTATAATGAAAATGTTAATATTGTTCGTGCATGGGTGTTGAAAAATTTAGAAGCAGCGTAAATGGAACATGAGTATAAAATTTATGTGAATAATAAGGATTTGAGCCCAAGTAGGATTATGAGGTCCTTATGATATTAACTGGTTTACAAGGCCACTCTAATGCTATTTGTACATAGAGTTAGCCTAGAAATCATTTTATATTGAATTTTCTGCATAGCCTCATGAATGTGGATTGAATTTAATCTTAAGGGTGTGACTGGATATAAACTTAACCAAAAAAAAAAAAAAACAATCAAAACTCAAATTTAACTCAACCCCAATATCCTCAATATTATCAGTGTAATTAAATAATATTAATCAATCATTCTTACATATCACATCAACTTTAATTCACTAGTCATCCACTCATATAATTTTAACTAACTATTATTTCCAATCATTTTTCTCCTACTTTTACATTTTACATTAAATCAACTCAGTAAGTATTTTATTTTAAATATTATTTTAGTTTTAATTAAAATTTTCACTAACAACTAACCATACCACCTTTTTCAAAATTAACTATGGTTAACAAAAAAACCAATAAAAAACCAATCACATCCTAAATGATCTCATTCATTAACTCTTGGTCTTGAAAGATGGCAAGGACTATAGAGAGCTTATGTTTCGTATCTAGAGTTACAAACCTTGTTGCTGATTAATATGATCTAATGTTTAACCCTTTCATTGTCATTCAGGGCAAATTCGGAACCCTCAAACAGAAGCTCTATTAGAGTTACTGGGCCTCCAGTATTATCTTGATTAGAGGGAACTATCTGAATACAATATCCGTAAATGAAGTCCTTCACAGGTAAATTATCTTCTAGGCATACTCTTGTTAGACGGTCCCTAGAACAAAGAAAAGAAAGAAAGACCGACAACAATTAAAGAAAAAAACTTGAAATGCTCATGGTGTTATATCCTCGATTTTATTTTTATTTTGAATTTGTGTTCCTAGAAATGGCATTGTTGAGAAGAAGGCCGCACTGTACATTCCTTTTTACTGTCTCTGGCTGAGGTGAAAAGATTATTAGTTCTACTACCGTATGGTGGATTTGGATTTTGGGAGGTCGTTTAATGGTGTCTGCATTGCAAAGTGCGAACAAGGAAAAGATGAGTGCTCATTTTAAAGTTGTAGCTGCTTTTGTTCATTTTTTTATCGTGAAAAGTTGCTATAACGGTTTTTGCCTCGAGTTCAGTAGTTTTTTTTGCCTTGTAAAGTCAAAAATCTTTACAAGAAGACAAAGTCAGGTTGCATGTCACTGAAATTTGAGCACATCTAACCCAGAAGAAGATTTTTATTACAGTATCTGATTTTTTTTATTTTTTATTATTATTATTTTTTTTTTTAACTTACAAAGAAAAATATTGGGAAGACGTTTTTTCAGTTCTCTCTCATTTCTCTATAATTTTTAATTTTAATTTAATTTGGTTCAAGTAAAACCTTGCTGAAAAGAGAAATTTCTGGTTTTCCCTCAATTTTTTTAGCATTTTTTATTTTATTTTGATTTTGGTTCATGTAAAATCTTACCGAAAAGAAAATCAAAAATCAAATTTGTGCAACAAAATAACAAATCACAATGCACTAAAAACCAATTTTATATTTTATCGAAACAATCCCACATATATATTGATCCAACATGTGTCGAGTTTAAGTGATAAACTCGGATGTTTTAGAATATTATGTCACAATATTATGGTTTGTAGTTAGGTTTGGACAAAAAATTTGGAAACAAACTTGGTTTGGAAAGTGTCATCAATTATTTTTTCACTATGTATAATTGTCTCCTATCAATCTCTTTCATCACCATGATTCTCGCCCAAAAATTCCCCAATTCCCCTTCTACTGTAGCAAACCTTCATCATCGATTTGCCTCCTCTCTGGCCGTCTCTCTTCTTCTCCGCCGAGAAGGCGGCTCGCGCCGGTGTGGCTAAGGGTCGTCCGACCTTCTCATAGTCCCTCCTGCTATGGCGCGACTTCAATTCCTTGGCGTTTTTAGTGGTGTTTGTTGGGGATCGAGGGGCGGAGAAGATGGCCCGTCGCTACTGTTCATGTCCACCGCGCTGATGGTGGTCGGGTCCGAGGCTTGCGACCGGGCGTTCCCCCTGGATTCGAATCGTCTCTGGTGTTCAGACGAACGGTCTGACGACGGAGGATGTGGGTTCCTTTGGTGGTATCGGCAGCTGCGCAGTCGGTTTGATGCAGGGAGGTCTTGGCTGGCAGGTCTCTCGGAGCAGCTCCAGGGGGTGCCGCTGGACGGGGTTGTTGTTCGGTTTGCCTAGCTCCAATCAGCCTCTTGAAGGAGTGGCTAGAGCTCGTGCTCGGGTAATGGGCCTGTTTCTTCGTTTGGGGCCTCTCAGGGTGCTGTCCTTTTGGAGGTGTTTGGAGAGTTTACGGTCGGTTAGGGAGGGCTCTTGTCTAGTTTAGTTTATTTGTGTGTTAGTTGTTGTGGGTGTGTTTGTGTTGGTGTGTTGTTTTTATGTTGTTTGTGTCTTTTTGTTAGGGTTTGGTTCTCCTATTTGGGAGGTTGTTCTCCTGGTTGGGAGTTTGGTTCTCCACTTGTGGGAGGTTGTTCTCCTTTTTTGGGAGTTTTGTTCTCCCCTTGTGGGAGTTTTTCTCCTCTACTTGGAGTTTTTTTTTTTTTTTTTTCAATGTGGGTATGTTGTGGTATTTAGGCTCCTTTTGGGATGTCCTCTCAGTTCGGCCATTTGGCGGCCGACTTCGGCTGTTTGGCCATTGGATGTGTTTGTAATTAAGTGTGTTATTAATGAAAGTCTATCGTTAGAAAAAAAAAAA